TGAAAACGTTGAGTACAAAATGATCTTTCATATAGCTCAAGACTTGATTTGCAGTCATTAATAAACGCCTGTAAATGGTGATCCGGTCTCTCCATAATGATAAATTAAAAAGTGGCGGAGACGAAAAAATGGCAGAGAGGCGAATAATTTTCCTTAAAACATCAAAACCATACCCTCATTCCCAAAGTCTAAACATCGATTCTTCGCACTGTCCTACAAACTTTGTAATTATCTTACTATGTAATTATAGAAACTTGGCGAACAATCTAACAATATCCACGACATTCAATTGTTGAATATTCTTCTTTTTGTTTATAGCATTTCAATAAAATATTTAAAAGGCTGTTTTCGAATTTTATTTTTTGGTCACTCCTGGGAGTAACATGGATGGGGTCGAAGGCTTTATTGGTCATGATGATGAGAACCACTCAGATCAGTATGAGTATTAGAGGTTTTGCACCTATTGTTTTTTAAGTTGAACCGATCCAGCAGTTGCTTGACTAAATATAATTCACATCGCAGTTTCTAGCTTTTACTTCTGTACTCGTCTGGCAGCTAAATAAAGAAATGAACTAGTATAATTGGGTATTAAGGCTTTTAGACTTTTCACTTTCCGTTAAATAGCTTCGAAATATTTTTGTGCGAGACGAAAAATTTCCAGCGCTGGAATTCAGCTGTGTGTACCGGTCATCAATAGTCAGGAAAGCCAAATGTTCCAATGATTTCAACAGAGTAAAGACCGTACAAAAGCCGCTCTTTTGGTTAATTAAAGTTTGTAAGGCCTGTCGGAAAACAGCTACCTATTTCGACATTGGCTTACGATGAACTTTTTGCTGTCACGTTTTAAATCTTAAGCTTCCTTTCCTCATCTCTGCGTTTGACCTTAATGTGTTTGATAAGCAATTGCCGCCGTAAAAAAATTTTATGAGTGCATTAAGTTAACAAGTTAATCCACAAAATCTTATAAAAACGAGCCAAATCAATACTTTTGACGTACATTTATGGAGGCACACAGGTATTAGTGAGCTTAACTGGGATCAACACGAAATGGCATGCAAAGCATCACAAAGCAATTTTTTCTTATTAATGAGATTACACAAACAAGTAAAGTACACATGGGGTCATAGACAGCGTAACGTTTAAGATTAATGAAACGTTGTTTCGGGTGCATCTATCGACCTAAAATGCATGTTCAGCAAAAAAAGGAATAGTTCTTAAGGAAAACCACATCAGCCGACATTGTGACTGAAACTTGAAACAAAAACAGGTTTGCGATGGATGTTCATGAAGGACCGATGTTTGTTAACCCAACTTTTGACGATTGGATTTACGAAAACAGCATTCCACCATCGCCTTCGAATTTTTCGCGTCCATTGCCGTACCGCGCGGAAGTCACTGCTCCTACTGGAACGAGGAATTCTCGCCAGGCACAATATGAGAGTAAAGCACAAGGCAAGAGGAAACCTCCTGTGCGATCAAACCGGTCACAGTTGACCCTCTTGACTCTTGTGTGCTTGGTGTCTTTCGTAATATTTGTGATGATCCTTATGATATTCGTTGGAGGAGTATTGAAGGGTTGTAGCTGTCCTGTAAACCAAGGTTAGCACATTATTTTCTTGCCTAAAAGCCGTATGAGCTGCATGTCTCATTCCTGTGATTGTCGAAATTTCAGGTTTAAGTGTTTTCTGTATTTGAAGCATTCTTCATCTGGTTTGGAGTTAAGCTAAATAGCATTATAGAATTTTTTTTTAATCAAAAAAATGTATTTGCGTATAGTAATTAGAGACGGGCTACTAAAACATATGGTCTTGCTTGAACGTTCATTTGTACAGTCATTTTTTATTTTAATAATGATAGCTTGCATTTAAATTCATAAACCAGTCAGTTTTCGTGATCTGTCTTAAAGTCTTGCCAATGCATGCGTAGAAATTTTTGCCCGTAACTCTTCATACAGAAAATCGGTAAGATTCAGAGAACGTTCATTTAGACTTCAGTGGGATGAATTCCTCATAAACAATTTCGAAAGCAGACATACACGGTAGCAGTCACATTATGCATTTTAAACTTCAGGGTCCAATTGTTCAAAGAGAGAATAACGCTATCCGATGGATAAATCGCTATCCAGTGGATAAGTGTTCACAAAACGTACGATGCTGTCTACAAGAAAGAGATTAATTCAGTGGATAGCGTTATCAACCCTTCAAAATACCGGGGCCAGTGCTTGAGTTTAGTCTATGCACAAGCAGAAACGATTTGCATCTTGTACCAAAAATTTGTGACCAATTTTTTTTAAGGTTTTATCTCTCTAGTCAAATGATGTAGTTTAAACTTTGATCCTACTACTCTAAGGTAGCGAGTGTCTATGCTCTAATTTAGGTAACTTAACTAAAATAGATGAAGGTATCTAGAAATAATTAAATGATTCGTGCAAATTATATCATCTTCTCACTTATTTATACCGTGACTACAAACTTTAATACACTGTCAAAAAGAGAAGCTGCGAGAATAGCAAAATATATTATTCATACAGATAACGTTAAATACATAGCACTTAGCAACAAAGAAATGGAAAGCATATATCAGATTGTCATGTATTAAGATCGTACAAAGTGGCATTCCGGTCTTGGGTGTGAAAGTTCGAACAATACTCATAGAGATCTGAAAGAACATTCTTAGTAAATGCTAATGGCAGCTTTAATTACTGACATAATCAAAAATATGAATTATTTACCTGATATACTGAGAAGTAAATTAATAAAGTCAGAAAGTTGAAAACTCAAGCCAATGTGAGCTGATAGGACCTAAATTCAGGCACCACCTCTTGGTCTGCCTTTACTGGATAAATCTGAACAGTGAGAACCAAGGAAAAATAATAATGAAGATAAAAAAACTTGCATGACATTGACTGCAATCGTCTCTTTTTTTTAATGCAAATCTGGCTCACTCCGTTAATGATTTTAGCAAACATCACGGCGTAGTGGTTACAAGACCGATGGCGGCGTTTCCTTTGCGGTCGGATCAGTTGAAGAATGATACTTAAAGTCGAGTTTTCTCTTCAAAGAATCTAATTACCTGCGTTCTTAAGACTGAAATTAAAAAAAAATAGCTCTAAGTAATTAAGAACTGCTGCATTTTTAAAGCCTATGACTCGGTGCCGGACTTCAGTCGAATCGAAATGATCTGGCCCCGGTTGTTCGAAGATCGGATAACTCTATCCACTGGATAAATCTCTATCCGGTGGATAGTGCTATACGTTTTACTATCACTTATCTCTTGGATAGCGTTATCCACCCTTTATACAACTGGGCCCTGGAAATTAATGGCAAAGTTCGATGTGCGCTTGTTTTGTAAAAAGGACTGTTATCATATTCCAACCATAGCTAGTGTACCTGATATTATATACAGAATCCCCTGATCTGGTCAGAACTAATGTAAGTTGATTCTTGTTCACATGTGGATCAAAGATGAATGTTGTTACAAGAGGGTCTCAATGGCGTGACAGCTTTTACAGCTTATAGTTAAAGTTTTTGCCATTTTACTGCCAACAGTTAGTCCGAAATGGCCTTGAAGATAGGAAAAGTTATTGACCGTCAACATTTTTTTAAGACTAACAGTTAAAGTTTTTCCGGCAATTTTTACGACCAACGGCGAAGTTATTTTGCTGTTGTACGGCTAATTGCAACGGCTCACCCGAGTGAGAATCTCTTATAACTTCACTCAGTAAGTACGTACACTGTAAGGACTGCTAAATTAAAAATCTTTTTTAAAATGAAATCTTCCCCCTCCATTTGAACCCAAAGATATAATAAATATTTTACTAAGATCGCAGTCCTTTCTACATTTTCCGCTCGGATTTATAACCCTAGCGCCTGGGCCATAAATCCGAGCGCAAAAAATCGGTCTATGACCTACCAGACGAACCTCAAAATCGGTTAGTCACAAATGTTTATTCACGCTTCTCCAGACGATTCTTCTGGAACTCGCAGTTCGGCTTCTGCCTCACTTACTGAAATATTAGACAGAATCAAGGGGTTGGAGGAGAATGTCACAAGTCTTCAGATACGTTTGGTGAGTAAATGTGAAATGAGGAGGTAACTTTTGAGTGCATGGATTCCTCAGTCCGTAATCGAAAAAATACGTACGCGGAGTAAAGTGAATAGTAAGAAAGATATTGAAATATAAAATCTTGCGCTGCGAGTTTTTGATCGCATTGTCACGCAACTCTCTGCACCAGATATATATTCAAGTAAGCAGTCGCCGAAATTCATTCCAGGAGACAAATTTCTTTTCTTCTTTTTAGGAAAAGGCATATATACAGGTTCCGTACCCAAGATTGTTCTACCTCAGTATCAATATACTGAGAGATAGATTATACCATTTTTTCATTTCATTAAAAAGTGGAAAAGAGGAGCCACAGTCATTCATTGTACCAGAATACACATAAGTAACTCAAACTCGTGCCTTTGAGCGCTCCATAGTTAGCGCTGAAATCGGTCGTTTTCAAGATTAATTTTCCAAAATAGTATTTTTTTTTCCATCTACAGGAAGAGAAAAACCAAGAGCTGATGGAAATTCGTCTATTACTGCCAAAACTTGAAGAAAACGTTGTAAGTATGTAGCTCAAGGTACCCTCGCCTTTTATATCATATATGTTTTAGTCGTTCTTTATCACATTGTTGTGTTTATTTACCTTTCTCAACCAGGATACTGACGACCCTTGCAAACGCGTTGCAGACAGATGAACTCAGACTTTGATTTCTTAGTTGCTACATGGTTCCACGATGTATTAAGATCCTTAAAGGATGGAAACGCGAGCAAAACCGTCAAAGAGCATATAATGCCGTAATTGAGAGTTTCCCAATTAAACAGCTACTTTTTAAGTTTGTAAATTGCTTACTCTAAGCACTTTAATTGTTAAATGAATACCAAGGGGTCTAAAATTTAACGAGGCAATAAATCAAACCTGTCGATGTCAGGACCAAAATGGCAGTATCTTTTACTTCAGTGCATGGCCCTTGTGGCCCAGCGAACATACGTGCTTCACAATGTTCTGTCGCATGATTTCATGAACAGTGCTATTCAGTTTTCCAAAGCAGGTTGAGTGAGCTTGAGTAATTTTTATAAAGAGATCGCAATGATCCTCTACTTCCCTCTATTTCAGACGAAAGGGGCACTACAAGACTTCGGTGTGGAGCTTAATTCAACAAGAAGTAACCTGCAAGATGCAGACGTCAAGTTGCAGAAATCTTTAGCTGCCGTTAATTCATCTCTTGTGGAAAAGGTCAGAAGACGGATTTACATTTCAGATTGAATGCTTCCTCCTTTCTTCATCTGCAAGGTCTCACTTATGAATATAAGTACATGATAACATTCTCATAATATCCTGTTATTCTTTAGATCGACGATCTGGCCTTTACGACGACCCAGTTGTCATCAATCCTGGAGACGTCATTAAACAACGTTGAAAAGCTTAACAAGACGCTTGCAAACACAAGGAGTGAGGTAGGTTTCCTATGAGGCAATCGTCGATTCACATGTTAATTCGTTCTGCCAAAGGCTCTTCTTGGGGAAATTTCACCGGGGAGTTTGTCATTTAATGTTTCAAAATCCAATACATTTGTTGTTAACTTTTAGGTATGCGCAATTCTCAGGCTTGCGTCATCATGTATTAAACGGTAAAAATTACTGATGATTTGTCAATATTTTTCTACTTTCTAGTTCAAAGAGAACGAGTCATCACTGAAATCAAGTTTGAACTCCTCAATTGTCAACTTACACCAGAGTGTGGAAGAAATCAGCACGAATAATTCCAAACAGGTACTTTAAGGAAATACAAGACACTTTTTCAAACATGTTTCGACAGTTCTTCTGTATCTTCAGTTCTGATTTTTGCAAAATACAAAGTTGAATTTAAAGTGTATAAAAAATGCTCATTGGACAAAACAAATAATAGGAACAGAACAATGTATGCAATTACAAGGAAAGTTCTAAATAAACATGATAAAGTTGATGAATGTGGATAGCTTCTCTGAAAGTTGGAAAGTTCTGAAGCGTGATCTAGGATGATAAAACACTCGTCAGAACATGGTTTTAAAAATTGTCGTTTATTTCTTAAATTCGTTACATATCTGCTGCTATCCAGGCTGAGGTAAATCGTGCACCAGCGAAAATATTTCCTGAATTATAATTCCAATTATTTTGCCGATGACTCTCATCAGGTTGATCGCCTTACCTCATGGATAACAACATTATATGCTTTAGCTAATCAAACCAAAGATAGGTTCAACGATTTCAAGAATGATACTGAAAGTTCCCTTTTATCGGTAAGAGTGTGAATTTGTTTTTGTATTACTCCTTTCCTCTGGTTAAAGGTTAGTATTGTGAGGACCATAAAATTTTCGTCACTAATGATGATAACGACAAGCAGAAGAGAAATTCTACTGCTGATGGCTATGAGGAGGATGAAGAGCCGGCTGTGACTGTACTAATAATATTACTAGTGCTACTGATGACACCTCGTTCCCTGTGTCACTCTTCTTCCCAACCCGTTTAGCGAATGGGCAGTGCAGAGGTTGAGCTGGTCACAAGGTGTTCCAGAGATGACCTTGTTTTCAGAGCCGAAAATTATAGATCTTCATCAGGAAACATAGAAGTTCTCTCTAATCTGGAGTGTTAATCTAAGACGAATAAGAACTTTTAACCAAACTGTCTTATTGCTACTCTTAACTACCTCTTAACCTTAGAATTGTGCTTTAGGTGAATACTGGACTCAAACGCTTGGAGGAAAATTTAAATGTGTTAGAAAACAAGTTAGCTATTGCGATGTCTGAAACGAATGTAAAGGTGAGTACACCCTTCAGTTTTACTTTGTTTAGGAGATCTTTATCTTGGTAACACTATTTTTAATCTCTAGTAAGAGGCATTTTGAAATCACTCGTCATTAAAAATAACCATCATTTATGCAAAGATGATTTGGTAACTGAGTTTCTCGGAAGCTCAGATAAAAAGACAACTTTCGCTGAATGCAGAGGAAATTTATTCCAATTCGCGTATTCCTACCAGAATAACGGCGCAATACTGAAAACCCAATCTATAATAAAACATGTCCGTTTGGTTAAGCTATGATTTTTGTGTAATTATTGTCTTTTAAAAGCTAAACAGCAGCACAGGAAGACTTTTTCAAGAAGATGCCATCATCAGGAATCTGATTGAGGCCATCAACATCACTTTATCTTTGAAGGTATCATATAGATCTACAGTTCTTTAATCACTTACAGGGAACCTTAACGAAACCGTAACGAAACCGTAACAAAACCACGATCGATCTACTTCTGGTGCAAAAAGAAAAAAAACCTTTAAGATCATCTTTGCTCTTGTCCTTGTGGACACTATAGGACACCCTTTAATGACAATGATTAAGAGGCGATCTCTGTAAGAGCGGTCCAGGGCATTTCGCATCGAAAAAAAGTTTTCCCTAAAACTTTGCCCAATAAACTATTTTTGGTAACAAGTAAATAAAACCACATTAGTTTCTGGAAATACCTCAAAATAAAATTTTTAGAGCTCTCAAAAGTCAAAGCTGCAAAAGGCCCTTTTTTGACCTCTTGCGACATCGAAAATTTCAAAAGTTGAATAGCCCGGTCCTCGTATCACACCGCATACAACAAAAAATATTTTATATTCTTAAAGTGTGTGATATATAAGGTGTATAAAATGCATTTCAATTTTGATATTCGTTTATTCAGAGGCTCGTCATAATTTATTTAGAAACACTCGTGGGACAGCTTACTGAAATTGGTTAAAAGTACTCTTTCTTTCTCGATTGATATTGCTCAAGTCCAGACTAGACCATTAAAAACTCCGCTTGATTTCTGCTAATAAGATGTTTGGCTGCAGAAAAATATAAAAACATCTTGCACTTATTGATTTTCTTCGCCGAGGTGACTTCGAACTTTTAGCGATATTGCAAGCGTGACAGCCGATTATGCAAATTAGTTCATTGAGCAAACTCCGACCGTTTTATGTGAGTAGCTCAATAAATCTTAGATTTTAACCATTTTAAGTAAAAAATATAGTAGGACAGAGCTTTAAAACCACACCGATTAATACTTTAAGCATTTTAAAAGGCCAAAATTTGACAAATTTTATTATCTCGTGACGAAAGACGTCAACAACAACGTATCGAATATCATAATTTGATTAGCGCTCGCAAACTCTTTTTTAAAAATTTGGCTTCTGTTATTTCATATTTGAGTTCTGATGGCTTACGCTATTCAAACCTGTATGAACGTTTCAAAATTAAACTACAGGATTCTATTTAGTGTAACCGGCGATAACAGCACACACTAAATTCACCGTGACCAGTGACTCTGTCAGGTAATTCCATCGTGTAATTGTCCTGAATACTTAACGCGTCTAAATAAAACAGCGATTTCTCGGATTTCTAGCTGAAAGGGAAAAAAATTATATTTGGTCGTCACATCTGTCTGCATAACAGTCTCTGTTCATAAGTTTGAAGAGTTCTTGTAAAAAAGATATCCCATTCGCATAACGGGTGGACGTCATAACTAGATTGCATAACAACTGCACTCCGAAATCATTTCCTCCATTTTTGCAAGAGGTGCTGCATTTGTATCTTGCATTTTGAATGCGAGCTCAAAATGTTCGCATATGTCTCTTAGCATCTTGACTTTGAGACTAGACAACCTTGCTTCTCTTGCCAACGAGCACACATCATAGATATCAAACATGACTGGATGTTTCAATCCTTCTCATCTATTACTGTGTTCCTTGCCTCTCTCAAACACCCTTCGTCTATATCAGACGCGGATGCTTCTATCAAGTGGTCGTCTGCGTCGGTGGCATCATCCGATTCTTGTTGTATTTTAGATCGCTGTTTAAGGCACAATTTTGAGAAGAAACCCTGAATCTGTATGTTGGATAACCACTCTGTTCTATCGAACATTCTCTCTCCATCTATTGTGCAAGCATTTCGCATATCCTTTGCTACTTTCTCTGGGTTTAGTTTCTGACAGTGTCTCGTCCCATATTAAATTTCTGTTTCAAGTACTGCCTGACGTTTTGCGAAAGCCGTTCACTTGCACCTCTCTTATGAAGAGCCCATCCCATGGGAAGCTTTGATGTACTTGTCAAGGGTTCTGTGGCCACTGCAACCAGTTCAGTCGAACTTTCACCCTCTAATGACAATGACTGAAAGTAATGAACCCACTACCTCTTTACTTTGTCATAAAGACTTTAAGTCATGCTCGCAGGCACAGGACTTATATGATGAACTAGCTAGTTCATATGGAAGTCAAGGTCGGCCTGCGTCTTAAAATCTTCATCGCAACCAGGTTCAGGGCATTGATAGGAACTACCGTCGTTGCCATCATTACTTTCTCCTGCTGATGCAGTTCGTCGAGCAGTAGTGGGGAAAAATGGAATCTCCTTCACCAGATCCGTCATTTTTTCTGTGGAAAAATTGTAATTTTAATTTTTCTCCAAATGCGCAGGCCCTCTTGTGTAAGTTGCTGAAAGTGGCAATCTTGATGTCCCAGCCCTCGAAGAGATGATACTAGCTTACTGTTGCGATAGCAACCTGCTTCATCCGATCTTATTCCTGAATTTCGTAACTTTATGGTGGCAAAGAGATTTTCTAGGACTGACAGCACTGAAAACCGGTCTTTTTTACAGCTGTTAAGAAGGTCTACGTATCAGGTTACTTCCAGGCTTTCCTCCAATCTTACAACAACGCTACTCACATGCCGATTGATTTCCCTCTTGGGAAACCATTCTGCTTGCTTTTCCCGGAACTTCATCGTCCAGTTAACTATTATAAATGCTTCATCTCCCTCCAAAGTATCGACAATTTGCCGCTCGTACTGATCCTGGTTTCTGCTCTCAGGATATACCCTTATATATATTTTTTGCTTCATACATATAGTCTTCCGCTTGAAACCTACCCAATTGCATTGTGTACTCAGAAATAGCGCCTTTTACTTCTTCAAGAACACTCTTCAGCATCTCACAATCCTCACACTTCACGTTGTGACTGTGACTGCATACTTTCTGAACTTCAGTGTCACCAGCATGGCTCAGTGCAAAAAAAAAACGGTCGGAGTTTGCTCAATGAACTAATTTGCATAATCGGCTGTCACGCTTGCAATATCGCTAAAAGTTCGAAGTCACCTCGGCGAAGAAAATCAATAGGTGCAAGATGTTTTTATATTTTTCTGCAGCCAAACATCTTATTAGCAGAAATCAAGCGGAGTTTTTAATGGTCTAGTCTGGACTAATGAGCAATATCAATCGAGAAAGAAAGAGTACTTTTAACCAATTTCAGAAAGCTGTCCCACGAGTGTTTTTAAATAAATTATGACGAGCCTTTGAATAAACGAATATCAAAATTGAAATGCATTTTATACACCTTATATATCACACACTTTAAGAATACAAAATATTTTTTGTTGTATGCGGTGTGATACGAGGACCGGGCTATTCAACTTTTGAAATTTTCGATGTCGCAAGAGGTCAAAAAAGGGTCTTTTGCAGCTTTGACTTTTGAGAGCTCTAAAAATTTTATTTTGAGGTGTTTCCAAAAACTAATGTGGTATTATTTACTTGTTACTAAAGATAGTTTATTGGGCAAAGTTTGAGGGAAAACCTTTTTTCGAAGCGAAATGCCCTGGACCGCTCTTACAGAGATCGCCTCTTAATGTCTGTTTAGTCTGATCCGGGAAATTTTTTTCCACTTTGATGGAAACCAAATTGACTTTGCTTCAAGCTCGCAAGCGCTGGAAAATCAGTGTCTTTTAAGGGAGTGAAGGCTTTCACACGAATAAAAATTTAATGGAAAGGAAAGGAAAGGATAGGAAAGCTGTCACGCGTTCGGTATGTGCACCACTGCCCTTTCAAGTCTAAATTAGAGAAAAGAGATGCACATATTGTTGTTTTTCTCGAAACATCGTGTTGCAGATAGAGAATTTTAGCAAGCTACAAGGCCCAATTGGACCACGCGGTTTCAACGGCTCTAAAGGGGCGATTGGATCAGCCGGACCTCAGGGATTCAATGGAACACAAGGTACCCAAGGGGTGATAGGCCCCCCGGGGTTTAATGGATCAGAAGGACCACCAGGGCCACAGGGACCAAACGGAGCAGGAGACTTCTCCCAGTGTGAACACAAGGAAGAGAATTTGAATGGAAACCAAGATCCAGTCACCAGCTACACTTTACCAAGTCCAATTAAAGTTACCGTGGGTGAACCAAGTGTAAGTAACTTAAAAGGAGAGATTCACGACTATTCCCTTTATAGTTTTGTTGATAACGGGAAGTGTAAAGACGTTTTTCAGATTGTTTGCCTTACCTTGGCGCAGATGAAAACCTGAGTTACATTATCTAACGTGATACGCCAACATGGAATCACGCATGCTCTTATGATTGGACCACCCTTATATAGGTTCTTTGCCTCAGAAGTTAGATCGATCTGTTTCATCTACATCCTTTGATTTAAGTCTCCAAAATAAAGAATAGATGATAAATTATGAAAAGGGAGTAGTCAAATATTCTTCTCAATTTGTTGTCAGTCAGATAATTCAAGTTTTTTTTTCTTACTGTAGGGTAAAAAGATTGTTGGTGTCTCATGTTCAACAGACCATGCTCAGCTTTCTCTGCTCTCGACCAAGATAAAAGCATCTAATAAACAGTTGTTCTACCACTGTAGCTGTTATGGTCATCATGGAACAGGCCAGGCTGCTATTCAGTGCGTCATGCATTACTGGGAATGTCCGCTGACCACATGAACACGAAAACGATTGTTGTTTTGATTGGGTGAAGAAACTTTGCAAAAGTCTTTCGCCGTGAATTGCCCTTGGATTTCAGTTTAATTTTGAAATGATTTTTACTTTGATAATGCAATTGCTTTTGCTTTTAAATTTGATTGCTACTTCATTTCACTTTCAATCGTTCTTTTTCCTTTGTTTTGCAGTCACGTTCCATTTTACTTTCAGTTTTGATTTATTTTTTATTTTATTTTTTATTAAATCTTTGAAAAATTGTAAAATTTTGAGTGGCAGCCCTCGGCTACCATACCGGTACTACGAATTTCACTCACGTGGACATATGTATCCCATGAAGTGAAATTTAGTTTTCTGATAAAACATTTAAGAAACATGCGATTCGCACGGGTCCTTACTTTACTACTGAAAGACCAAAAAAACATGATCGATTTTGATTACTTCAAGAGTAATGCATTAGCAGGAAAATTTCTTCTTTAATCTTAATCCTTTTCTTGATATGATCCTTTTATTAGGGACGTAGCTAGGGTTTTTTAAATCTTTTAACTTTTAAGAGCTGATTGTGAATTCTTCCATCTGGTTGCGACATAATTCCTTGTAAATAAGTAACGAGATGTTGGTGTTATAATATATCTCTACCTGATAAGTTTATTTATTCTTATTACCTGTTTCCTGGATAATGAATGGATTTTATTGAGAGAAGCTACATGTTAATCACTGCTGAGAGTTAAAGGGTCAACGAGTGTTACAGTCACGAATTTCCGCTCAGTCCACGGTAGATGGCTTTTACTCCCTCTTTTCCGTGTGTATCGCAGGCTCGGGTTTATATGGCGAGGGGACTGTACATATTATCAAGTCAGTGAAATAGAAGTCTTTAACCCTTTAACTCACAGGATCTGATTGCTTATTCTCCCCTCTAGGTGCTACATATTTTTCTGTAAATAAATTACGAGAATTTGGTTTTAGATCAAGATAACAACTTTTACCTTTTAACTTTTTTTGTTCTCATCACCTTTTTGCTGAATAATACATGGATATTGTAGGGAAGAAGTTACTTGTTAATGACTTCTGAGAGTTTAAGGGTTGAATTCAGTTTTACGAAAACGTGTGAACACGAAGAGCTTCATAGCGCCAATATATTACGTTATGCCGGTTAGAAACCAATTGTGGCAAACACGGTAAAGTATTGGTACCATGTAGCTCTTCGTGAATTGAAAGACTTTTATTTTCAGTCACTTTTTTAAGGAAAACAAAAAAAAATAGTAGCTTCGGGTTAGGTAGGGCTCGAGTCATCGAGGTGGATCTTGAATTTCAGTCATCCTGTTAACCCGTAATAGGGAGTGATGTTTTTGCTATCAGTTGTTCAATCAACAGCCGTTTTGATTCATTTAATTTGTTTCAGTAGAGCTTTTTGATAAGAACGTTTAGTCTGGGAAGTTTAACCAAATTTATATAATTATATAACAAAAATATATAGGCTGAGATGTTCATCGCAGAAGTAGAGGATATTTTAGATTTTATTTTATAGTTAAACTACTCTGCTGATCGAGTGATTCTGTGCGCGTTATTCAACTGTTCTTAAGGGTGTGACTGTTTTAAAGTACAGTTGTACTGTTTATTGGACGTCTGGCACGTGTACATAGAGCTATATATGTTACTTACACAATAAAACTGAAACTTGGTTTTCAATACGCTGTATGCAATTTTCAAATTTCTGATGAAACTAAACTTTATTGGGCTTTCGAGGGCTTTAATTACGTTTTCATAAATGTTATCACGTTCATAAATCGCGATTAAAGGTTGGAACGTGTCAATCAGTCATGTTCTGACACTTAAGCGTTTATTGAACGCCGTTTTTATTTAAAGCTCGAGTTATCGGGGAAAGTTTAGACCAAGGGAAAAAAGTAGTAAATTAGTAAAGTTAGTTCCGGTTAACGAGTAGTTCGATTAACAAGTGCAAGTTAGCTGATTGTAAATGACTTGACATCTAGTGACAAATCCAGGGGAAATGGGATTTTGTTTGAGTTTGCGGGGTTCTGTTGACGAGGAAAAGGAGGAGGGGGTTTTCAGGACCTATTTACGACCTCTCTAGCCTCTGTATTTTACAAGCTGATAACGGGCTCCCACTTTCCCCTTAACAACGATGATTGTCTACTGATAAATGATATTGCTGCTGCTTCAGTCAAAACGAATTCAAAAAAGGAAACTCGGGTTTTCAGGGGGTCATTTTAACGTCAGATATCTAGTTACGCTTGCGTCTACCTCGCCAAACCTTCCAAAATACAACAGGTTAGAGTTTTCACTTCATTTTCTCGCTGTTTTCATTATTTCACCATTCAGTGACTTGTTGAAATTACACTTATTAGAGATTTTACTTTACGTTTCTGTTCGTCAAGTTTCTCTCGCCTTTCTCTTTGGTTAAAATTTGACCAAAACCTCGCTCATTCGGTGCTAAACGACTTGGTCTCACCATATTTTTAACTTTTTACCTTCGAAGACGCAAATCGGCAAAAAGTTTGTTTGCGTTTTTTTGCACATTTTATAACAATGAAGTCGTCAAGAACAAAAGGTAATTCTTGAAAAAGACATCGCAGAGAAGCAGACGTTTGAATGAATTATTTCATCACAATACCAATACGTGATAATTGTCGGTAAATTTCAATTGCTTGTAACAGGAACTTGTCATCATGCAGAGAGTGATAAATGATATTTGAAAACATATTTTCGTCTTCATCTTTAAAATGAAAACGAGAAAATTTTTTTATCCTTTTCTTTAGCGAAATATTAATCGCAGACTTCTCAGTTCGAACAGCGAAGAATAAATATTGATTTGTCTCGATAAACACCAAAGCTTATAAAGAAAGAAAGTTTGTTATAATCGAATAGAAGTACGGTTGTTATGCCCTGCTTTGTTCACAGAAAAAAGCAAGCTTTTAACTTTCCCTATTACGGAAACTGGGGTTTCATCGTGCGTGGGGTCGTTTTGTGACCAAACGGGTCATCGTCAAGAGTTTATTTAGGCCCTGGAGAAACGTCCTGAAACACATTACGAAATCACAATTGACTGCAGGGGCTAATTTTATTTCATACCACAGAAACCGTTCTACAGAAGCAATATGATTTCACACCCAGTGAATGTTTCTTGATTGTGTAAAACGTTACTACCTGGCCACTTGCGGTGAACAATCGTTACATAAATAAATTACCCTAGGAATAATGTGGGCAGAGATATTGTAAGTGTATCAAGCGTGAAATTTGTGCTAATAAGAAATTTGTTCAGAGCACACTCGACACGAGTCCTCTTAACAAGAACTTGACTACCACTGTGAAACGGAAAGGTTTCATCCACAATGCAGGCTAACGGGGGGCGAATTGTTGTAAACCCATCTTTTCAAGAGTGGGTTTACTTGGATGAAAAATCTCCCCACGCTTTTCAAACTCCAATGAAAAGGCAAGTTACGTATTGTGTAGAGGAGGAAATTGGTCGAAAAGAATTCGAAATTAAAGACGATCCGTGGAAACAACGCGATAACCAAAGTAAAGTTGACTTTGTTTAGGCGAAATCAAATGGACGATACTGTCGAGCAGCAATACTGATGTCCATAATCATTGGGTCATTGATGTCGATCGCTGCATTAGCGCTGGTTCTGCTGATGTTGTTTGGGAAAGTAGGAGCAGGTTGTGGGTGTCAGTCATCAAGTGAAGGTTAGAATATGGATGAAGATCTAATTTGAGAGTGTCAACATATATAAAAGCTCGCCAGGACATATTCTGGATCTCGAAAAATATAAGTGCAGTTTGGCAGAGTTCAGTTGCCACGATGTACTGTACTGTAAGATGATACGTTGATTTCGCAAAAAATTGCTCAATCTTTGTTTCGCATTAGAACATTGTCATAACAAGTATGTTCTGTGTTCTGTTTATTGGTGTTATTTTTCGTATCACAACTATTTAATTGGAAAAAATAGTTGCCAGAGTTTATTTATTTCCAGCACTTGCAAAGATTTTCTCTCAATTCTCTATGGCTATAAAGATTTTGACAGCTGCGTTCAGATAGGCGGGAGAGAAGGCTTTTCAAAACAATAGATTACCAGATTCAATAGAGCGTGGAGTGATCATGAGTCGGCGAAATGAAAAGTATGAATTAAAAATTAGCTCGCACCGATACGTATATAAACCTCATGATTGACAATTTACTTCGACCAATGAGAGGACTGTTCAATGTACGCCTGACGTCATACCAAAACTGTTTTGTTTGGCAAGATTGCGAGACTGTTTACGGGGAAGCAAACAAAGGGGACAGGAAAGCAAAGTTTTTTAATGGACTCTTCAAATACTTAACTTAACAGAAACGTATTCGTAGCTTGGTAGAGCAGTCAAGCTCTATACTTAATGTTACCTTTCTTTCGTCGTTCAAAACAAACAGATTGCATTTCGCCGTGCTTCTGTTTGGTTACAATGAAGAAAAGAAACGAAACAAAACAAAAATAGTAATGAGAACATCATTAACAGTGACGTGCTCTCTTGCGAATGCTTTTTTCTTGCCACGAAAAGCAGAGTTGGATCAGAGTGGAAAGATTATTTTTTGTTAAACATAATAGGAAAAAAGCTTATGTCCTCTCATTGAAGTGGATGTGGTTCGACTCAAATGTGCTGTTCTGTAATCATTTTTTGTTTCAAATCTTCTTCAGTCAGTCCCTCCGCTGTTACTCAAAGAGATTTTTTAGCCTGGATAAAGGATCTCCAAAGGAACGTCACAAACCTTCAACAAAAACTGGTGAGAAATGTAGTATAGTTGCTGAATTTTGGTTACGCTTTTTGTCGCGATAAGTCTTCTATTCAGTGTACGCAAGGTCTCAATTTTTTAACTATAGAATAAGTCAGATTCCAGCTACTTCTTCATTTGCAGGAAAATAAAACACATGAGCTCAAAGTTGTTCATTTATCGCTTCGAGATCTTGACGGAAAATTGCACAATTTGACAAGGAAGGTAATGTACGCTAATAGTCCCACTTTTTCACGAAAAACTTGATTTCGCGGGGAAATTTGATACAGATTCCATTGGAAGTTCATTTTTTTACTCTTGTTTGCTTTAAGCTAAACATCACTGAAACAGCCCTCCAGGATAAGGACAACAAATTCCTCGTTCTTCTACAGAACACGACTTCAAATTTTCTCCTCAAGGTAATGAAAGCGATGTGCTTCGTTATCGTGCAAATAAGGAACTTTAGAGGAATGCTTTGAGATTACATAGTGGGTGCTGAGTTAAATTCTCTTCCTGATTGCGCAGTGAAGGTTTGGTATTGCAATACTGAACTCCAATCTCATTCCGGCAATAATGAGCAATTATTTGATTTGAAATGGAGCAGAAAGAATAAAGTTCGGAAAAAAAAAGACTGTTTCCTAATTGTATTGCATCTACCAAGTTTCACCATGCCATTGTTTACTTGAGAATTTTTGGCCTTAGATAAGCCCTAATTGATAATCGATATTTTAGTTACATCTAATTGCTTCAAAAAACTGATCAGAAAAGAAATCTGGAGTGTAATAATGAAAGGCAAAATGAAGGAAAAACCCCTTTTTTACCACTGAAAGCATTTTAATTTGGACAAATAAAGCGCGAACTTTGTCGTTAAAATATTAGTGTTCCTCTGCAACTATGAATAAACGCGTGTGGAAAATTGTTAGCCTGGAGCACTTAGGGATTGTCTTTATTTTCAGATGCCCAACAACCTCTTGATCAAATCTAATAACTTCGGCTTACATTAGAGTCCTTGCAGTCTCCGTCTGTTATGCGCGAGCCACTGGCTTTACAACTGTCAATCAGTACGGTCATTTCGTAGGTTCCAAATGGACTTCGACGTTCTGCTGCTCCAAGAAGTGTGTCATCACACGGTGAACCGCTGAGATTATGGCAGCACATCGGATAAAAGCGGTTATCGTCCTTGCTCATACTGAAGAGAGAATCCTCTGAAAATTTGCAAGCAGAAATGTTTTACAAACAATTTGAAAAGACAGCGATGCCCACCATGTCCAGACTTATCAAGGTTATATATTAGGCGTTTTTCAAAATGCTCCACGCTCCGTTTTCACCAGCGTTATTCTAGCATTAGTTAGTGATAGGAAGAAAAAACGCATCAAAAACTATGCGTTGAAGAGGGAAAACTAATTGGTGCTGTCAGAGTCTAATCTCCTCCGCAGCTACTTGACAGGCGCTCTGTAGGATGTCACTCCTTGATGATAGCGTTGCGTAACGCCCGGAAGAAGGGCTTTTTTGAAATACAATGTACGGTTAGCCTTATCATTACTCACTGTTTCCTATTGCTTTTTCTTTGTTGCATCCTTCGGTATTAGTGATTGCAAATCGGTCGAATTCTAACGTCCGCCATGATCCTAAAGGCTGCCGGAATTCCCTGACATTCCCAAGAGCCACATGTCTTAAATTAAGATAAACCCTCAATGGGTAATCACCGCTTTGAGATTCGTCACCCTCTAGCTCAACGTACATCTACAAAAAGAAAAGACGAAAACAGAAAACAAAACATAACAAAAAATCATAAAGATTAGGGCTAACAGAACTTAATTCGTACCGTCAGTTAGAAAAATTAGACTGAACGTTGTCTTTATTGACAATCAAATTCCCCATTCGCACCAAAGCATAAACATGTTTAAAAGCTGTTTTGTGAAACACGGTTTGACATTATTTTTTTTCGTAGGAGCTGCTTAAACTAATGTTTGTC